AGAGCTCATTTTGCAAGCACCTCCAAGGCTAAGGGCAAAAGAAAGAGATCAGAGGATCTCGAGAAAGAAGCTGCTAAGGGTCCAGAACAAAAGAAACAAACTCAAGAAAACAAATGTTTCTTTTGCAATAAGACTGGACACATAAAGAAGAAATGTGATAAATATCATGTTTGGCGTGAAAAGAAAGGGTTGCCTAAACTACCGGAAGCCAATTGATTCTGAAAGATGGATTTATGTTAGAGATGGTAAATCGGTAGAGGTGGAAGCTATAGGACATTTTAAATTGTTATTGAGTACTGGTTTTTTATTTGGATTTGAAAGACACTTTTGTTGTGCCGTCATTTAGACGGAATTTGGTTTCAGTTTCTTATTTGGACAAATTATGTTATTTGTGTTCATTTGGAAACAATAAATTCAGTTTGTCTTTTAATTCAGATATTGTTGGAACTGATTCACTTTTGATTTATGATAATCAATATTTACTTGATATTGTGGCCACCTATAATAAAAACCTTAATACAGAATCACGTGGTACTAAACGTAAAATTGAAAATACTCATTCAGGTGCATTATGGCACAAGTGCTCAGGTCACAATCAAATCGTGACGTTTGAGCTTGTGTTACACTCTTAAAGATATGGTAGAGAGTATGATTTGTCATTCCACCTTACTTACTGGAATCACTTTGGGGAGAGACACTAAATACGACAACTTATATTCTAAACAGAGTACCAACTAAAGCAGCTACCAAAACACCTTATGAGCTTTGGATTGGGTGACAACTTAGTTTGAAGCATTTCCATGTGTGGGATTGTCCAGCTGAGGCAAGACCTTATAAGTCAAATGAAAAGAAATTGGACTCCCGAACAGTAAGTGGTTATATTATTGGTTATGCTGAAAGATCCATGAGATATAAATTTTATGATCCCACATTAAAGACAATTTTTTGAGACGGGAATTGCTACGTTCTTTGAGGATATTGAGTTTGGGGGGAAGAATAAGATTAAAAACTTCATCTTGGAGGAAGAATCGGTAACAATTTCAGAACCGATTCAAATAGTTACTTTTGATAAAGTAAGTTCGGAACCTCCACAAGGCATTGTTGATGAACCCCTTACTCAAGATGATTTGGTTGTTCATGAAGAACAAACTCAAAATCCTTAAGAACCTGTGCATCATGAGCTAATAACTTTGTAGAGATCCACTAGAGAAAGAAGAAGTGCTATTTCGGATGATTACATGGTATTTCTTCAGGAACATGAGGAAAATAATGATATAATGGAAGATGACCCAGTTAACTTCCGTCAAGCTATACAAGGTTCTAACTCTCAAAAGTGGATTGAAGCAATAGGATAAGTATAAGTCCATGCAAGACAATAAGGTTATTGAGAACTTGTCCCATTACCAGAAGGTATGAAACTCATTTGGCTTCAAGATGAATATTGTTGATGATTGTATGTATCACAAGTTTAAAGGGAGACAAGTTTAGTCTCAATTAATGCCCAAAGGGAATTTGAAAATTGAGGAAATGCAAAAGATTTCCTATGCATCAGTTGTAGAGAGTTTGATCTATGCCCAAGTATGTACGCATCCAGACATAGCATATATAGTTGGGGTTCTAGGCAGATATTTAAGCAATCCAGGAATAGACCATTGAAAAGCAGCAAAAAGGATCATAAGATATTTAAAGAGAACAAAAGATTATATGTTCACATATAGGAGGTCAGACCAGTTGGAGATCGCTGGGTTTTCTGACTCAGATTTTGTAGGATGTCAAGAATTTGTAACATACTATGATGCATCAAATCATGGAATATGGCTGAGAAATTTTGTCACAGGGCTGCAAATTGTGAAAGGCATTGAAAGACCACTTAAGTTATATTATGACAATAAATCAGCTGTATTGTTAAGGAAAGAGTACAAAGTGGATAGATTTTCATAGAACACTTAAGGACAAACTCCATGATAGCATATCCTCTAACTAAAGGACTTCCGCCCAAGGTCTTTCATGAGCATATTGCTCACATGGGTGTTTTACAGTTTGAGGAATTTGTGGTTTAGTGGGAGTTAGTCACTTTCATATATTTTATGTTCTATGTTTAATTTCATATATGTATACATTGATTTTTGGACATATTTGGTTATCTATAGATATGCGGTTTTTTCGTTCATTCATTACACTTTGTACATTAAGGATATTATATTGATCTCGATAAGTTAAAGTTTGGACCAGTTGAAAATAGACGTGTACAGATCACCTTCACGTAATTTTTCATGCTACACATTTCATGATGAATCCATGTCATTTGGTTATGTTAGGATGAGTAATCATTGTTGGTTTTAGTTGCGATGATGCAATGAAAAGCTGGTTTGGTTCTATATCCTGATATGATTAATGGACATGACTTTTGGAGTATGCTAAAGGAATATAATGGCAATTTTGAGCTCATAAAGTCTAACACATTTGTAAGGTTGTAAGGACATATATATTTGTGACCAGTGGGAGATTGTTGACAAAATTTGGGTCATGTATATATATGATATATAATTTAAATGTATTAGGGTCATTATTTATTAAGCCAAATAATAAAGTGATCTGACTAAATTAAAGTTTTGGCTAAATGCATATGTCATGAAAATAAAATTGTGTAGAGACCATAGAGCAATTTCTAATTTGATGAGGGGTCAAATTAGAAATACTAAAACTTAAGTAATTAACCTAATTCTGGTTATTTTAAGGGGTCGTGGTCCCCTTCTGGGAGCACACACACAGAAAGTAAGTATCAGTCCCGTTCCTTTCTTTCTATCCCCATCAAGAGAGAAATACATGTGTTCTTCAGGTGGAAGACCATAAGATCAATATAGTGTTCTACAAAGACATCATCGATATGGCTAATTCAGGTACGCTTTCGCATTCAGTTTACAGCATGTTTATCAGTATGAGATTATGTTTATGTTTGATCGTTAGAATCAAAATCATGATTATTATTATTATTATTATTATTATTATTGTTTTTCCAACATATATATGTTTTGTTTATCAATTCAGTGTAACAAACAAACATACTCCTTTAAATGTATCTACTATATCTATATCATGTATTATATAAGAGTCATAGTTTGTGCGGATATAATTGATTTTTGGAAGGGATTAATTGCTTTAAACATTTGTTAAGTTGATTTACATTTGCATCTTAACAGGAATCAAATTAATATTTCAGGTATTTTAAGATCCATTTTCACTAGACATGATATTACACAGATTAGAAAATAATGAGCAAGATTTTTCGTTCAATTATTTATATTATATTATATTATATAGTTTATAATTTAGGTAATTTAGTACTAGTTTAACTTTTATAATTTATATTATATTGTATTATTGTATTTTTAAATTACTATATTAAAAAACTTAAATCTTGGGACGGTTTGCCATTAAAATATATTTATAGATTTTAGTTATAAGATAAAATAAATTTAATATTAAAAAAAAATTACAAATGAGACGGTAACAAACGTAAATTTATCTTTATTAAACGTAAATTTATCTTTATTATAGACTGATATGAAGTAAACTTACGTGGAACCTAATCTCGTTTCACATAAATTTATGTCTACGGTAACATAGTCCAACGTAAATATCGTTTATTTTTTTAAATTTTAAATTTTTTTTAAGTCTATTTTATGTTTTATCCTGTCTAAATAAACATCGAACTGACACTGATTATAATAATCAACATAAATTTAGATATCTTGTATTATAAGTATGACAAAAAAAAAAAAAATCAAAATAACGTTTAAATTAATACAGTGGAAGCGTGATAGACTTTTCATGCACAAAACGGTCCAAAAGTGAATAGGGCAACAAGTTCCTGCTCAAACACACGTTTAAATTGTGAATAAGTGAAGTTATTGAATAACAAATAGGCATGATTCCTGAACATGACCGGAGATGTGGCAGAAGTGTAAATATTGGTTGTGTGGGTTCATGAAAATGATGATGAATGGTATACATATGCAGTGTACAGTACAGTACATCCACCACCAAAAACAATATACCACAACACGACAAGAGAAATACAAGGCTATGAATACTTCTTATATATTATCCGGTTTGCTGAATTGCTACACCGACATAATGTGGATCATATTCTTTTAATGTTTTCCTCTTTCCTCTTCTTTGGTTTTGTTCAAATGATACGTTTGACAAGTAACACACTTTATTCTCACAAATTTTTCATGGATATCTATTTTAGCTTTTGCACACATTATATAGATATATTAACTTTCAAGGTAAATATTCAATTTTCTCGGAGATGTTATAACTTTTTAGAAACCAAATTTGATAAACTCATAATACAGCGAAAAAGATTACTATTATAATCTCTACACACAGTTTGGAGTTAAATTTCACTTTTTATAATATTAAAAAGAAAATAATTATTTTAATATTTATATAATTTAAATGATATTTATAATAATCAAATAAGAACGTTCAAATCAAATACTTAATTAAAAATATAATTTAATTCTTTAATTTTATTTTGAAGTTATATCTTATGGATTAATTCTATATTGTTTAAATTAAAGTATAATGATTAATTCAACGTATAAATTATTTTTAAAAATACAAGTGACTTTAAAAGAATTTATTTACCTCTTTTAAACTCAATCCATAAACTGATTTACCATTGTTTGGTTATTTAACTGTATCTACTATAGCAACCTTATGAGCAACTCATGAAGAGCAATTTGACACTGCATTTATTTATACTTTTTGAGGTGATTCAAGATGTGTAAAGGCTCATATATATATATTTGTTTGTCAAATATCTCCTCAATATATACATATATATACTTTTGAAACATCAGATCATTTAGGTAAACCTGAAGGTGGCTACTTTAGAACTTTGTTAGCTCAAAAAAATGTATATACTAGGGATTATAAGCTTAATTTAATGTTTTGTTTGGGGTAGAAATTTTGGTACGTTCAAATGACGTCTATATACCTATGCTATTTGGAATCCCTCTACCAGTAACTCCAGGATCAGAGGAGGCCATGAGCAACTCATATGGTGGAATTCCAGCACCACATCTATTTCTAAGTTTTGGGTCTTTATTTCTCTTCTCAATCTCCTTTTCAATTCTCTTTAGATCCATTGAAAACTTGTAGAAAGCTTGTATGATTTCAGGGTCACCAGCCCAGTCTGACAAGTCTTTCCTCTGTCCTATGTATTCTTCATCTGGTGAATGCTGAGAAAGTATGCTAACCACTGCAAGAAACTTGGTGGTTTCAAACAAATTTGGTAAGCAAGACAACAAGTATCCTTCTGGGTCCTCCATAAATTCTTTGTACTCCGGATTTCCTTCTTTGGGTAACAACTTCTTCATGTGTGGGGAGCGCATTGGAACATACCCACCGAGAGGGTATTGCGAAAAATTTACTGCTGAATGCTGAACCGAAACAACCCATATGAGTGTGGTGAGTATTGAAGTAAGATCACCAGGAGTGGAGAGTGTGGGCCACCAACTTGCATTTGCATGATCGGCATGGCCTACTTTGATGACCTCACTATACCATGCTTGGAGTTCATTGTCTGACCGAACCATGTTCCCATCTCGATAATAGTAGTTCACATAAGTCCTCACCAAGTTCTCCAAAGCAAACCATACAAGAAGCCCATCATTTGCATAGGGGTAGTCTTCAATGACTAGCCTTAGCCCATGGGGATGTGTTGGATCTGGTTCTGCAAGTCCCCTACATTATGATTACAACGTAATAAGATCGCATGCTTATAACTCTTACATATGTGTGTAACATGTTGTGTTTCTAAGTAGACGAACCTTCTAATTAGGTCAGCAGGAAGGGCTTCCATGTCAAAACGCCACCAATCTTTGTACGCAGCTGAGATTATCTCAGTGCTGTATTTGCCAGTAGAAAAGTCAGATTCAATGATGCCTCCTTCGTTGATGAGACCCTCACGAGCCAATGCATTTATTTGCAACGTGTGTTTCAAATGAGGCTTCAAAAGCTTGAAAAGTGGGTGCATAACACTCAGTTGGCGATGGGCTACTATGATGAAAGGCTCCACACATGCGTGGGTCCTCAACCTATTTCAGAAACATCATTTCGCATTCCATGTTAATTAGGTTAATATAATTAATCTAGAATACATGCACGATAAAAGTTTGTTGAGTTACATACCAATGATGCACAAGTTGGTGAACACCTGCGTCGTTGGAGCAAACATGTGCTTTGGCTATTTGCCACAACCAATGAGATGTGGCATCCAATGGAGGAATAAGGACCTGTTTGGATGATTCCCTCTCTGAAAGACTCAACTCGATAGCAATAGGCTTCAAAGTACCTAGTGGTGTCAGATACAAGATGGTTCGAGTTGCATAAGCCTTTTTGTCTTCCTGAGCATTCATGCCACTCAGAAATGGGAGATAGGCATCATGATAATCCAATATGAAGAGCTTTTTTTCTGCCATTGCCTGAACAAATAGATGATGTAAAACTTCAAACTCTCAATACACACAAAGGTAAAACTCATTGACTTGTATAACTACCTGTTGTACTGACATTCCATCCAAATGGCCTATGATGTGTTTTTCTTTTAGGGCAGATTTTTGTGCACCATATATCGAAGGATCCAGATCACTGACGGGTGGAAAAGCCTATAGATTTTTAGAGTAAAATAATACAAATCAATACATGTACCAAAATAAAATACAGAAATAATTTTTTCTTATGGATTTTTCTCAAATTTTTATCATTACCTCAAGTCTTTTTATGCTTAGAGGGTTGACGCCAGCCAATGCTTGACGCCCAAGTTCTTCATCTTTTATGCAACAACAACTTCCTGAAATTTCAAACAGCACTTTTCTTGTGAACAAAAATTGTTTTAGCATCGATTTTAAAAATAGATCTTTTATTCAACAGTATTTTATCTTTTTAAAAGTTATATGGATACGTGTTTGGAACGAAGGAAATTACTTATTGCTAGCTTAGTTACGTACCACCACCGTTGACAATACGTGGAGTGTTAAATTTAAAATACTCTTCCACATCATTTTGGATCTTGCTCATAGTCATAGGTAGAGACCATTTTGTTGGGGTCTCCTTCTCAGGTTTCATTTTATCCACGCGCTTTCTCTTGTATATCTGTTGAACATCTGAAAGTTGCTTGAAATCTCCACATTTGGCAATACAAGTTTTTATCAAGGGAATCAAATTCCGGGTTGTCCCTTTTAACTTTTCCCCATCAAGAGCTTCCTTTCTCACACCTTCAAACACTTCATCTCTTGGCACATAGGTTTCCTCGGATGAATTTGCACGGGACTCATATTTCTTGTCTGTCATGATTTAGAAAGGACACATAAAAAAACTAATTTATAAATAATAAGGTAATGTTGTGAAGTAATTTTGATGTAGTCGGAATTCAAATTTTTTATTATCAACTTTTGCAATGTTGTTGTTATTGATGTGACAAATATATATATATATATGGAGCAATTAATGGAGAGAATGAGACTGGTACTCATTAATTGATGAACTGAAACTAACCGGTTGTGGCTGGAGGACGACCAGTTCTGCACCTTCTGGGACTGGGGTGCTCTGTGGTCCCTAATATTGGTCTCACATGTTGACTTCCTTTGTCTGGATTTCCAAGATCATTGTACACATCGTAATCATACACCCTTTCCCATCTCTTTCTTACACCCTTTCCATTTCCTCTAAGCTGTCTTAGTTCCTCTTTTCTCAGCTCTTTCAGACCCACTGGTGTGTGACAAGGTAAGTATGCCTGCTTAATTACATCATGCACAGTGTAACATCACTATTTTGCTACGTGCATTACAAAAATATTGTATATATTTCGAAACTACTGTAACTCTCTGATTTCAGGTCTTGAGTTTTCAAAAGTGTGTTTAAAATAAAACTTAACCACATATCAAACAAAAATTATTGAAACTGTAACTATGTGGTGACATGAAATTTTTTACCATGAATTTAGCGTGACCAACGGGCCGGAGGGGTAGGCATTTTGCCTTAAGTTCTTATCTTTGTTTCTATTAAAAAAATTTGATTTTCCTTGTTTTCGACCGATCCCAGAATTATATTATCTATAACTAGGAACCGTATTATATTATCTATAATTAGGACTGTCGGATAATTTAGTTTCATCTATATTTTAAATGAGTCAAATTTATTGGTTTAATTTTATTTAGACCGGACTATTTTTAATTTAATTAAAAATATTTTTTTATTTATATAATTTATTTTAATTTTGTTTGAAAAGAATATTTAATTCATTTATTTATTTAAAATTAACTCAATCTGTTCCACAATTTAAAATATTTAATTATATATATAAATTAATTATTTTTAAAAATTATTATTTTAATATATTAGTAAATATTTAATATAGAAAATAATTTTATATTAAAAAAATATTTTTAAAATAATTAATATTTAAAATTTAAATTTAAATATAAAATTGGGTGGTGATTGATGATTATTTTAACTTTCTAAAATATAAAGTATACACCTGTATCTAATAAACTCTTCGTTAAATTTAATAGATGGATGGATCGAAAAAAGTTTAATTCACATCCCTAATCTCATAAGTTGAAATTGTGAATATTACCTTATTGCTGAAGAAAATTCTCTCCTCTGGATGAATCTTCTGAGGTTGAACCCAAGAATTGCAGGTAATATTCACAAAACCTTCAAGGGAAAAGCCTTCCAGAAAGATCTCTTTGTCGTATTTGTTTGTGACAGTAACAGCTCCAGGGAACCCAAAATCTGAATCTATCTCAAATTCAACCTTGTATGTGGAACTCTCCTCCCCCACCTTGAAGCGTTTCAACAACTCCAATTCAACTGGGTTGCTCAGTTTTGACTCCCTCGTTCCTTCAATTTCATGGGACACTCAAATAAGTCAAATACTGAAAATATTTGAAAACTTAAAGGAGTGACCATAAATTAACAAATACAACTGTCAAGGGCATTATTAATGCAAAGAAGATAGGGCTTACTGAGGTCAGTTTTGGTGCTAACTAGCTGCAAGACAATTCCGCTTTCACGAACGGCATTGTTGAAAGTATCAAAGTGTTGATGCATCATGGCCATCATCATCTCTTTATGATCAGTGATCTCACTGTTCTTGATAGTTACTGTCCCGGCTATGGTCAAAGTCACACTCAACGGATTCAAAGCAAGGTCTTTCTTGGAATACTCAACTAATTTGGTGAAGGGTGGTGGTTGTGAAAATGGGGCAGGTAGTTGCAACATAGTCTTCAGTTCAGAGAAAGCGGGAAGCATGGAAACTGTTCTCTGCCTCTTGATGCAGAAACATTTAGGTTGTGAAGACCATTCTGAAACACCAATACAAAGTGCTTCCACCATAGTTTGTCCCATAATTTCTTTTACCATACCCATTCTGAAAGTTCTCAAGTCTGTTTTCTCTTGTATCTATGTACTCCTTTACAATTACACAAGCATAGTAGAATTGTGTGTTATTGAGTTTAGATGATAAGGCAGCATTAAGAACCATATATATTTATAACTAGAGAAATCCACAAAATGCCAACTTAATGCCGTAGACGAGTGGAAGAATTTCTATGTTGAAAACTGTCTAGCCACAACATCTGAACAATGTGAATAGCATGAGGAAAATATACACAAGAGTTAAAAGTGCTAGATGTTAGATTTTTCTTCTCAAAAATATTGGTTGACAACCACCAAAATAACACCAATGTTGTCTCTGAGTTCTCAATTTGTTGGTTGGGCTATCAATCAAACATTTTTTTCCCGTTTTTAGGTCTGTTTATGGCCTCTTAAGTTTTAGATTCTGGAATTGTAGTAGCTGCTACTCACTGCCATTCTCCCCTAGTAAGACAAGACTGCATAAGCACGTTTATTACTATATTAATATTTTGCACATGTTGGGTCCTAAACATATCAGGTAAATGTTACAATACAATGTAAAGAGACTTATAACTGGATTTATATCTAATTCATTTTTATAAAATTAATTTACTAAATAAAAAATACTTATATATTGTTTTAACTATATGTACGGAACTTTAAACCGTAATAACCAAAACAAATAAAGTAAGAGCAACCAAACATCATAATAAAAATAATCCAACAACATTCTTCATATTTGATTACTATAGGTGCCTGAGATAAGGAATGATATTCATCAATACCTCAAATATTAGGTGACATCTAAATGAGACTAGTAAGAGAAGAAATACATAGATATTATACATAAATTATAAATCTTGTTTATGTGTTAAAAAAAAAAATAAAGGATGTTAATGTATTACCACTCATGAGAAAAATCACAGAATAAATAAAAAAATTAATGGACTTAGTTTCATTTTCCTGTCTTTATCAATCTTAGTCTAAATCACATCTGTCAAATATAGCCACAGTAAATGTTCTCATCACCATATAAAACTATAAAAAAATCACAAATATAAAATATAATAGAAACTGGATGAGAGAGATAAAAATATACCAAAACAACTATTATTTTAGTTAACATATGTAATTCAGAATATTATATCCTTAAAAAACTTTAAAATGTTTTTTTCTTAAAAAAAATTAAAAAATTTGTCTTCTAAAATAACTTATTTGAACAGGTTGATCTAATAACTCAACCAATTTTACTAATTTTTTTGTTTTTCTTTTTTTTTAATTAATTTAATGACAAATAATTTTTAGAAAGTAACATCAGTTATTACATTCATTTTCGGTTGAACTAGTAGATTTTTTTTATTATCATGTAAAAATAGCTTATCTATTTATTAGAAATATTTTGAACTTTTTTTTAATAGCTAAATTTTACGTAGGTTCTATTTGATACATGAATGAATAGATTCTCCGTTATTTGTAATTCAGTGAAATTTACACATGTTTATTAAAAAAAATATTAAATGCATTTTAATTCTTATATAAAAGTATATTCAAATTTGGTAGGTCTTTTTATGTTGAAAATGGAAAATAAGAAGTAATTTACTCGTTTAAATTAAGTACTATTTATTGGGAATGGAGAACAACTCTGCGCGTGATTCACCAACTTCATGTGGCTCACAATCCTTCTATCTTTGGTTTTCTGCCGTGCGTGATCGCTACACCAAGGGTTGTCAGAAATATACTTCATCTACTACACTATATATAAAATTAAGTAAAAAAATTATATTTATTTTATCTTAATCCATTTAGATTATATATATATATATATATATAGGAAAGATAAATCGTAAATTTATAGGTTGGTATATTTTGTAAAATAATAAATTTTTAAATAAATATGATATTATTATATATATATATATATATAAAATAAATTAATTTAATAACAATTTTATTTACAAGTAAATATAAACAAGGTTTTTAATATCCACATGATTAAAATGAACTATTATTTTATATAATAAATAAATAAATGATAATAATAAAAATTAACATTTTAACTTTTATTTTATGATTAAATAAACTTTTTTTATAATTTATATATTTAATTATTATATTTTAAATTAAAATTAATTTTATTAATATAATTTAAAAAAAATTATATATATATATATATTAAATTAAATATAAAAAAATTGATTTATTAAATTATTTATTTAAGATAAGTTTAGATTAGATAAAAAATTATAATATATTTAAAAATATATGTCAAATTCCATCATAATTTTTTTTAATTTGATAAGTAAGATTAAATTAGGTTAGACCCACTAACCAGTTTGAAGATTTCGCTTTCGTTTTACATGTTTTGCTTCAACAAAAATATAATAAATTAGTTAAGTAAGACTAAATTTTATTTTATTTTTTAATGCATGTTTAAAATAGTCATCATTTTTACTACACTAGCATATAATACGTTTTATTTTAATGTAAATAAAAAAAACTAAATATACAAAAATATTGAAACTACGCTTATTATTATTTCAAAAATTATATTTTATGATTAAATAACAAATATTCAATTCAATAATATATGTCATAATTAATTTCTCGATATATATGGAATAATTGTTGAGATAAAGATTATTATATATACTTTAATTTTTAGTTAAATAATTATTATAAAAATTTGTTATAAAGTATATTAATTATTTCATATTAAAATAAGATAATTCAATTTTAATTAAATTGTGTCGCTTTGAGTAATATACTCTCAATCCACCATAAAAAAAAAAACTGGATTTTATAGATGCACTAATAATCTTGACTCACCTGATTAAAGTTCCTCTTAGATTAATTAAAGAACATGTAGATCTTAATCACTTAATTTTGTGAAGTTTATTTGATTGCTTTGTCATATAACAGCTAGTAATTTATTTTTTGAGTGAAGAATAAAAATTGTACAATGAGAGTAAATTTGATTTTTTATTATTTAAATTAAAAATAATTATAAATAAAAAAGTTCAGAGATTCAAAATTCATTTTTACATCATTACCATCTTTTTACAATTTTCTTTTAATTGTCTTCTTTCTAAATTTATCATTCTCTCATTCTTTTTCTAAATCTAAGCACACCTTAATGCTTTTGAAGTAGAGAAAACAATTTCTATATGATAAAAATTTTAAATTGGGTAAGTTTATCATTTTCTAATTTTAGACTATTTATCATATTTTTTGCTTAGGTATGCATGTAGATCCTATGAATCTTGCATGTAGACTTTGTTATAAAAAGATGAATCATAACTAGTTTAGAAATATTGTTATATACTTAATTTAATGAGTTTTTTGCAAGTAATATATATTTTTTCTAAAAATTAGAAGTTTTGAGAATTTTTTTAATTTTGAGGTACTGTGTTTGAAGTAAAATACGTTAGTTATTCTTTAATTTAAAATGTGAATATATATAAGATCTAGATGATAAAGATAACTTGATTACAGTATTTGAGTTTTAAGATTTTAGATTGTGTGATTATATGTGTTGATTTATAATAATTATATTGAAAATGTGAATGTATAATTAATTTATATGAAATTAAAAAAAGATAATCTTTTATATAGATGTATTATTCTTAAACTGAATTTAATAATTTTATTTACAATAGGAAGAGTAATATTATTATTATTATTATATATTTATATATTTATATATTTAAACAATATAATCAAAAGATAATTCTTTAAATTATAATTTATTTTATTATTAATATTAATATTTAAAATAAGATAACAAATCAGTGTACCTTGCCTGTGAATTGTCAGACTGGCTAAAGTATCTAATATCTAACAAATTATGTCGTTAGTCCATTTTAAATTAATAAAAGTGAGATTTTTATTTTGTGTATACTCATTTCGTTTTACAATTTTATATTTTTACTAATTCTACGATCCCCACAAAACCACAATAATTATTATACTCTAAATGAACGAGACATCATTTTTGCTATACACAATTTTTATTATTTTGTCTTTTTTAGTTTATCTCTAATTTCTTTTTAATTGAACAAAAGAAGTCTACTTTATATCATCAATATTAAAAGATACTAGTTTTTGACATATTAGATGGAACAGGTATCTATACAAATTAAATCTCACATGCAGATATTTTTAAAAACAATCACTAAAAAAACAAAGTCTATTATCTACAAAATATTACTTACGATATATACAAATATTATATGGGGATAAAAATTCGTAAGTAAATTGTACATTACTTACGAATATTATCCGTCTACTTTATATCATCAATATTAAAAGATACTAGTTTTTGACAGGTATCTATACAAAATAAATCTCAGACGCAGATATTTTTAAAAACAATCACTAAAAAAAAACAAAAAGTTTATTATCTACAAAATATTACTTACGATATATACAAATATTATCTCGAGATAAAAATTCGTAAGTAAATTGTACATTACTTACGAATATTATCCGTAAGTAAATTATATTAAATTAAAAGAATTGTAACGGGTAGGAATCAAATCCAAGTACTTTAGAATTGAATGTCGATAATCTAACCACTAAACTATTAAGATATTCTAATAATAACTTACAAATAAATTATATTTATATTTATTCGTGTAAATATATAAATATAAAAAATATAAATATAAATATATAAATATAAATATAAAAAATATAAATATATAAATATATAAATGTATTTGTATTTATAGATTTTATATTTATAGATTTTGTTCAAGCGAGTACATTTCCTACGCATTATAATTCGTAGGTAATTATCTATGATTAATTATCCATAGATGGTATTATTACGGATTTTTGTCATTACCTACATATTTTTGTTGTCTGTAGATAATAAGTTTTTTTTTATAATAAATATGAAAATCTATATAATTATTAATTATATAAAAAAGATATGTGATACTTCAGTAGAAACTCTAAGAATGTTAGCTGTGACTGTA